TGATTTGACCGTCACATGCAAAATTTGGCATAGCTTGGCAGAATACTATGGCTCTGTCTAGTAAACGCTGCTTCAGCTAGTCACACGTGGTGGAGATTCACTGCTGATTACAGAGCCGGCTTCATAGACAAATGCCCATGACAATCACACATCATTTACTATTCTGCCCTAAATGAAGTTTATTTATAAACTAATTTCGAGAAGATCATGTGCTTATGATTGACCACGGCTGGTCCCGCATTAGCTATCATATGATTTACCAATCAGACGAATCCAAACGTACATAAATAACCAGATTTTCTTCTTCGTCTTGAAGAATGCCCCATCCACCCATACTCCTCCACATTTTTCCTAGATAAATCCAGGGCAGGGTGGCATGACAGTGGTTAGCACAGCAAGAAGGTCAAGTCCCGGCTGGGCCAGTTGGCGTTTCTGTGTGGAGTTTACATGTCTCCTCATGTTCGCGTGGGTTTCACCCAGGTACTCCAGTTTCCTTCCACAGTCCAAGGACGTGCAGTATACATGAATTAAATAAATCAAATTGGCACAGTAAATGAGTGTTTTAGGACTGCATAAACACATGCTGGTATAGTTGGCAGTTCATTCCGCAACCCCTAAGAATTAAGAAATGAATGGACGAATTCAGGGGAGCTCTCAAGACCTACCTGAGCTTAGACTCCCCTCTCTCCCAATGAAAGGGGAGGGAGTCCCAGGCTCGAGGATCATCTGAGCGCAGGGCTCTCTCACAGGACATCATGCTAAACATGATTTATCAATCATCCATCTGCTAAGTATGAACTTATGAAATGAAAGTTAAAAGTAGTCAGTATTGTTACAGATTCATTTGATAATGCCATCCTAAATTTCAAAAGGCAAATATTTTGCTGCAAAGATGTCAGCATTTGACGACAATTACTCTAAAAACGTGTAAATAAAAGCAAGTAAATACACTTGTATGCTCATTAAACATGTGACGTACATCCAACTTATGCAAGACCATCTCATCCAAATGTTGCTGATTTTCCACACGGCCTGCTGTATTTACTTCAACAAACTGGCACAAGATGTTCTGTAAGCTGACTAGGGTTCCAGAGCCACACAATGTGACCTGACTAGACATGCAGTTTCATGAACATCAAAGTCAACGAGTAGGTTGAGTATGTTTTTGCCCCCGTAATCCAAACCTCAACAGTGATCTGATTTCACTAATATGATTTGATGTGGTAACATTAGTACCTCAAGATCATGTTTGATATCAGGGAGGGCCCCGATACGCAGTGGAGTACACTTCCACATCTGCTAACGTTTCCCTTTTCTTGGCCTGACTGCAGCCGGCTGTTCCGCATGTGTGTATGTGTGGGGTTGTTGTGGTCCTACGATGAGCTGCTCTCGGTTGGACATCTGGAGCTCTGGACTGTCATCTTTTTTTCATTTGTGGAGAGAAAGCGAAGGGTAACATGATGACATATTTTGTTGAATTTCTGGCCTTTATGCTGTCTAACTTTCACACTTTTCATAGCAAGTCTTTGGTCATTTTTTGAATAAAAAGAAACAAAAATGTTTTTTAGGAAACTTACAGCACTACTAAAAACGTTTGGGGTCAAATTTATACTTTTTTTAATTCTACAAAGATTGCAATTTATTGGATCAGAACAAGTAACCATGTACATTTTCCTGTGTACAAATTTGAGAGAAATAAATCTGCCAATAATAATAGCAGTAAGATGTTTTCAGATATAAAGTAATGGATCTTAAACCACTCTGGAGTATGTGATTTAAGATCATGCTGAAGAACATGGAAAGCCATGACTCTCTCCAATAATGTTAGCTCACACTCTCATGCTTGGCTAATTGATTCAGCATACTGGGTGACATGTTCATGAGTTCATGTTTGTGTAATCTGTTAGAGGAATAAAGATTTGCTTGGAGGTCTGCAATGGATTGCCTTGAACGTGAAACCTGACTTTAGTTCTATAAATATTCCTGCTTATTTTCCACTTTAGATTGAAATACCACATGTGGCATGTATGTCAGTTACTTTACACTATAATTTTAACTCATCCCTCGGTGTGTATAATTAATACGAAGAACATTTACAGCCTGCAAAGAGGTTACATGGCTAATTTTGAATAGGCATTAGTGCAAAAATGATTTTGTTCTTCTAAATGGTGTAGGAACTGTGCTAACCAGCCGAACTAACAACATTAATGTGGCTATACTAATATTTCTGTCTAAATATTTCTACAAAAATAACAGCGTGCTTGATGTGGTGAAGAGATGCTGTTAAAAATGCTGGAAGAGAGACGTTAGTCTTTTTGGTTGTGATTAGCGAGATTAAAACAAGCATGTTCCATCTAAACATTTGCTTTGAACGGCGTTTCAGCTTGACAGAGATGCTCCGCTGTGCTGCGCTGAGCAGAAACCATCGCGTGTTTGAAAGAACATCAATTGCCTGGTGATGACATGAGTGTTTGTAGTTTAGTTTAACAGCGGTTGGGAACAGTGGAGGTATGGGTGCGTAATGTGTTTGCTCTGTCAGTCTTCACTTTTTTGCTTACGATTACAAATTCAATCATCGTGTGCTTATGGACGACACATTTATGCATATGCATGTATGTATGTAGTGTATGTGTGTGATGGTGTGTGTCTACAGCTTTGGAAACACATAAAAAAAATACCACTTGTTCTGTTTTTTTTTTTGTTTTTTTTTTCGATTTCTTTTTCTTCTGTGAACTTCTGTTGACATTTTTTCCAAAGAAAAATTTTCTTTTTTTTTTTTTTTTTTGAATTTTTGGAAGTTTTAGATTTTCAAACATAGATTTCATAAAGTTTAGTGTTCAGTCGGCGGCGTCCAGCTATGACAGGACACTGTTCATATTACTGCCACTCCACAGAGTGGCATCTTAATAGTTAAATTTTAAATAACATGCAAATGTGCGCGTCTAGTTTGAAACTTCCAACTTCCAACTGTTATTTTACACATCTGGTTAGTGATGCCTTTTAGTTTTCCACCAGTGAAGAAATACAGCCATATTGCACAGCTACAAGTGTGATATTGCGTTTATACAACAGTTCGATGGCATAAGTGTATATAAAAATGAAAATCAAACAGTCTCAAAAATTCTTGAGTACGAGGAACTACCTTCTTCAGCCATTTATTCACATTTGCAGCTGACATCAGAACAGCAGTAACCGTTGCTAATCAACAAACGTCACTTTAGAGCTAGTATTTGAATGATTCTTTAGCGTAATGTCTAAAGTGATGACAAAGCAGGTGAGTTTGCTCCATTTTTTTAGATTACAAGGCTGAACAGCATGAAACACCATCTGTGTACAGAGATTTTCCAGTGTTTCTCTGTTGCAATCTGGATATAACAATAATTAACCCCCCAAAAAGCAAACACTACCAGATTACTATGGTATAAATACAGCACTACAACATACAAAAGAGAAAGATCGACTTAGAATGTCACTTAGCTGTTTTAAAATGATTTGATCAGCTGTAATTTGACATTTACACTTTTCTCTCCACTAAAGGCTTATTATGCAGTCTCTGTTACCATCTTGTGGCAGAACGTCAACTTTCTTTGCTCTGCTCAATGACAGGCTGATGGCCGAAGACGCACTGTATCAATGATTATAAATATTTAAAAAAGCCACTATCCTTATAAATAAACTGCATAGTTGCAATCCAAACAAGTACATTTTTACTAAAAAGGCTAAGAAGTACATTATGTTGTCCAACAGCTGAATATTTGTCAAACTGTAGCGAGTTTATTGATCTGCTGTCACTCTATGTGGGTGAAGAGGCTCTAGGAGTGCTGTTATTGCATAATCTCTCTCTCTCTCTCTCTCTCTCTCTCTCTCTCTCTCTCTCTCTTATATAGTGTTAATATATATATTAACACTATTAATGTTGTACCTTTAGACAAAAAAGGATTAATTATTTGATGGAATAACCCAGATTTTCAATCATAACCAATAAAAATATTTGTTATTCTGATCAATTGTCATTTTCTTGAGATAAAAAACAATCAGTATTTATTATACTGTGTATTATAATAAATTATAATAAAATATATAGTATTACAAATAGTATAAATAGAGTTATTTTGTTTGAAATCTGGAAGAAATTTTATTACTAACTTTATAAAATTGAACAAATGTTAACAGAGAAAATCTTGAAACAGTTTTCAGATGTTTTAATATTTTAGCCTTAAAATTAAATTAAACATGGTTTGTACATGCCAGCTTGCACAATAATGATTTTGTTTTGACTTTTAACAAACCAATCAGAAACATAATAAAATACAGGGGGAAAAGAGAAAAATCATTTTAAAAAACACAAGTCATTTGTCACTGACTTCTATTCAAAGTTACTTAGAACTGAGATAATTAATTAAAGTCTTAGTCTACTGTATATGCAGATTACATTTCATTCAGATTATAAAATAAAACAAAATTACAATAATTATTTAAAATTACTTGACATTAGTACCAAAGATAAACACATTCCTATGGCCATTTCCTATTTTGCCATGTACAGTTTTCTTAATATTTATCCTTACTTATCCCTTCTTATTATTTGCTTCTTACTCATAAAGCACAGTATTTTGCCACATGTTGACCATTGCTCTGATAATACAGTAAGATTCATTCCAGACGTGTGAATCACCCAGAGCAGGTGGTGTGACAGACTCCAGAAATATTCACTGAAATATTTATCTTTGCCCATCGAGCGTCTGGATCCTCAGCAGAGATGCACACAGAGATTTGCACTGGAAACCATTGAGTCATTGTTCTAGTGAATGACTGCTATTGTAAGCAGCGGGACATGAGTCGAAATATGATAAATTATCAGTAAATGTAATGTTATGTAGTGAATGTTATCTGACAACTGACATGTGTGTTTTGGGGGTCTTGCGCAATGTACTGTTTACTGAAAGCTCTGTCTTTTGGTGGCCTGCTGATGTTTCATATCTTTTTTTTTTTTTTTACAGTAACCACAACAGTATCTCCGGGTTCGGGCCATGCCAGAAGATGCAACGACACAGAGAAGACATACTGCGTCAATGGCGGCGACTGTTACTACATACATGGTATAAATCAGCTGTCCTGCAAGTGAGTTTCTCCTCTGTCAAGTCTCTTTATGGATTATGTCCCTGGTAGATCCTTTCTTGGATTTTCTCTGTCTTTAGCTAGATCCAGGTTTAACAGAGGGATTCAATAACTAGTTTGTTTACTTTTTCTTGAATTATGGGCACTTTATAATATAATATAATATAATATAATATAATATAATATAATATAATATAATATAATATAATATAATATAATATAATATAATATAAAATAATATCACATAATACAACATTACTATTTTATTACTTACATTTTAACTTTTATTTTTATTATAATTCAAATAATTGAGTGTTTTTAACAATCATATCTCATAGGTAAAGCATAATTACAAATATTATAGGTTGTGATAGAAAAGACATACCATTTATTTAAAAATGTATGTATTTTGATGGATGGGTGTTTCTTTGTGCATAAGATTGAAAGTGAATGTTTAATCATTGAATGATATGCATACATTTTACAAATAAAGCAAAAGATTATAATAATTATCTAAAAAGGGAATAAAAATAAGCTTAACTGCGATACAATAAATGTTTTTCTTCCTTTTTTTTTTAAATCACAAACATAATTTTTACCGAACATCAAATAGTCTGTGCTGTTTGAAAATTGTAATCGTTTATCAGTTAAATATTTTTAAATCTTTAATTCATTTTTTTACTTTGACCTTTCATTCGGATATAAATGGATATTTTATGATTGCTTTATTCATAGATATATGCACTAGATATCGCATACGGACCCTGAGCATGCGTCAATAGCGCCGTCACAGTTATACAGTGCTCCCTGGACAAATGTCATTTAACCGCACTAGTCAAGACTAAAGCCTATCTGAAGATGCTGGACTTTGATGCTGGGGTGTAGTAACAAGCAAACAAAGAAAACGCAGCACAAAGGCAAAATATTTGATACGTAAGATTTGTTTTTTCTTACGTTTTTGTATGTTATGAACTTTTGTGCTAAACAGGTCACGTTATTGATGATAATACAGTCACTTACCGCATTCACCATAAGGCAAAGTAGCACCAACTCGCACTAAATATTCAGCTTATGCTAGTTTTGTTGAATAAAATCAGCAAACAATGCAAATGATATATGACAACGAGATGCTGCAAACTTGTGTCGGCTAAGTAAACAAGTCATTCACAATAGAGATTCATTCACAAACGAATCACTCCCTCCGTCAGTATGAGAAATGAAAGCAGGAGAGGGGATGTGTTTCAGGACATGGATTAGATCAAATTTAACAGGGAGGGTGGATAATACATTTCCATACACACAAACACAAGCTTTTTGTCAGAAATGCCTGTGCGATCACTTATGCATCAATGTAGAAAAGTCATGTAAAATTATAATTTTTATAATTGAAAAAAAAAAGGCATACCTACCTACGGGAAAACTCCCAATCATAGATATATGTATATATCTCTGGCTCTAGATGGCCACAGTCCTCCACTGCAGCTTGTCAACCGCATTCATTTCAAAGAAGCGCTACCCTGTATTAAAATGGCGGCTCTATTGACGCATCCCTTCCAATAGACAACAACAGGGTAGGCGACATCTAATGTATATATCTATGGGCTTTATTAAACAAATGACGCTGATAGTTGACAATACATGGTAACTAGGGCCAGAAAGAATCTGCGGATTTATGCAAAATGATTTTGGGAGTATCGTAACTGAAAACTTAATAAATGAAATAATAAAGCTTAGGTTTTTAACTTTTATTTAATGCTTACAATAAATGGCGGATTAGATTAATTTATTTTGGAAACAAAGTAAGTTCATGTCATATATCTACTAAAAGTCAGAAAATATTACTTTACAAACTGTATTATAAATAAGTCATTTGAACAGTTTCATATTAGTCAATAATACTACTGAAATTATTTTTAAAAAATTAAATAAATATAAATTTACACACCAATCACAGGTAAACTGATTGATTGGCTAAAAATCTGCAGAAATCTATGGATTTCTGCGCACGCAGATTTCGTGCAGGTCTAATGATGACCATCAAATATCTACAAATCAATCACATGAACACAGTTAAACATATAATCACAGAAATGCCCATTTATCCTGTGATATTCTTACAACATTTTCCTCCTATTCTTCATAATGTTTCTAAGTGAAAGATTAAGAAAACGGCACGGTAAGTGAAGTAATAATCCCAAGTCCTTGGAGTTTCTCATTTCTTTCCAGCAATGTCCAAATGACCTCAATCAACTCCATCGTTTTCTATTGAAACTCTCACTGTCTTTTTTTTCGGTCCATCTGGAGCGCTATCTTCACTCATGTCGGGTTGGTTCAGTTGTGCAGATGTTAATAAGTGCGATACGACTGTGATGTTTTTGGGGAATCGAAAAAAACAACAACAAAACAAAACACTAAAAAAGCAGACCTCTGGTCCCGCTCTGGCAGCCCACATTTAGCGTGCTGGAGCGATGTGCATCAAACCATTGTGAAATGCCATGTCGTG